GTACCATGCCTAGGTTTCATTTTATTCAATGTAGAATGTGTGTTTTTATTAATACCATAAAGGAAAGTCAGACAAACAGGGAATGTGCAGTGCTGGTAGAGGATGAGGAAGTGGCTGGACCTTCAGGGCTTCAGGTGAGGTTGAAAGTGTTTATTTGGTTTTGTTGGTGGTAGAAGGCAACACACTATTGCAAATATAGTGTGTGATTACACAACAAATTCTGGGGGAGAAACTCTGGACCCCGTGTCAATGGGTGTAGACTCAGGTCGTAGTGAATGTCCCCACCAAGATTGGAACCAAACCTACACCATTGCGCTAGATACTTACTTACTATGTACAGATACCACATGGAGATTATCCATGTGTTTGTAAAGGCTGTTTGTTGTTCTGGAGAAGCAGCCAAACGTTTTTCTAAGAATACACAGTCTTATCATAAAACTTACAAAGCCAAATGCCAGTACGTCCAAGAGTTCTTAATGGCCTTTAACTGAGCTACTGATTCCATTGTTAAATCCACTCATAAACACTGGGGGTCAACTAAGGCTGAGATCTGACCTCGGGAGAGGAGCGCTCCTGTTACAGCATGGTATAAAGAAGGAAAACCAGGGAACAAAGAGCAAAGTGTAGAGAGGAAGCGGCGCACAGAAGTCAGCCCAGAGTCTGTATGTCCTGCGGGAGACGCATCAGACACACTCAGGCAGATAACATCTCCTCAGCCCTTTCAATGCCCACCCCGGTATGGACACAGAGCAGCTGACCCCCACACAAACAATACATACACACTGAAGACACCCAGGTTCAAACACCGGGCAGAGTGAAGTGTGCGGACAATCAAACGCGCCGCAGCATGTAGTGGCTCTACAGAGAGAACAGAGAGAAAGGAAGGAGTATAATGTTTGAGCTGTCTTTTGCAAACTGCTGCGGTGAACATACTTGTCTCTAGAGATGCATAACATGTGCCAAATTAACAATATATTTTATATAATATATAGATATATTTTCCTGTCCACTCTGAGAAAGGGAATAACTGAACTGAATTACTATCTATGCCAAACACTACTCTACATAATAAAGTAACAATTGGTAACTCAACATAATAAAAGTAACAAATGGTGCTAACTCTACATAATAAAAGTAGCAAATGGTACTAACCTAAGCTATGAATGTCTGATTATGAACGTAACTTGAATGTCTTTCCTCATAGCAGTTGCTTAGTTAAATCCATTGCAGGAGTTTTAAGATTTAAATGCTCAAAATGTACAAATACTGGACTTGGTATATTTTTCATACATACCATATAAATGTCTTTCTCTAAGTGCCGTATGCACTTCAAAGGCTCACACCTTTTTACGCTGTATTGAGAAGTTTGCCCAAAGGTACTTTGGGGGATGACGAGATCAATGTGACAGGCTATGGCAGATTTGAGCACGTCAGAACCGGACAGCAGCATAAGCCTATACCGATACTGACTGAGAGCAAGGACAGGGAGAAATGTGGGGGTAATAGACATGAGGAACTATGAAGTTTTATTGGAAATCTACTGGCCCCAGCAACAATCATTTAGCAATACATGATTTCATTAACTAAAAATAGAAAGACAAAAGAGAGACAAACCTATGCATCTGTTAAGATCTGTTAAGTTTGTATGACCGAAAAAAAAAAAAAAAAAGGTCCTGTGTTCACACTCTACTGTGACTGTGTACTAACATGATCACTGATAAGGAAGTACCGGTTAAAGAAGCTATACCCGATTTATTTTCTAAAATTCATTAAAATGCGCATTACTACATACAAGTTGTATTAAAATCTGTAAATTAATTGAAAACTTGAGCTCATTGATTCAGCTTGTGTATGAATTCAGGCCGTGAAAAGTGCTGAGTAGAAACGTATAATAACCTCGGACTACATGTGTACGCGAAACTAGCGGTAATCTTTCAGTTATATATTTTGTTACCAGTAAAAAGAGGTACTATATTGTGAGGCGTAATAATACAAGGAGCGCTACGCCGCACACTAACTCCTAAAGACTTCTCTCCCGCTCACTTCCGTCAATAGAAGCAGCGTGAGCGGGACAGAAGTCTTTAGAAGTTAGTGTGCGGCGTAGCGCTCCTTGTATTATTACGCCTCACAATATAGTACCTCTTTTTATTCGCTGAGAAAATCGATATGTTACAGTTCTGTGTTACTATACTTTGTAGTGTAACTGTATTTAAATAGGGAACACGTGGAAGAGTTTGGTAGCTTCTAACGGGAGCTGATTTGTTACTATACAGTCTGTGGAAGAGGCTGCATTTGTGCTCCGTTTGCATGACAGAGCGCACGGACAAAGACCAGACAGGTACATATCAACTAGTCTAAGGTAAGGTAAGAACATATGTCAGTATGTAAAAACGGTGGCCTATTCCTTTAAGGTCCTCTATATCTGACTCAAAGGTTCTGCCAAATGCAAACAGGGGCTCTTCTTTCAAAAATGTTTTGGGGTCAAGCGACTGCACTCCATCCAAAAAAAATAAAAAAATATCTTGTGAAAAACGCCTCTAATTCTGCCAATGGACAATCCAGCACCTGTTTGCGACTGAAACTGAATTATATAAGCTATATGTTAAGACAACACAACAAATTCCTCTTCATGAACATTCTCAAAACATACTGCCTCCGAGTCTGACCTTCAGGTGAGGTTTCATCATCCTGATCTACAGGCGTTTTCTTTACAAAAAATATGCAATGTCTCCTCCTTTTCTTTTCATGTTTACACTAAAGGGAAGAGGGCGATGATACAATGTGCAATTAATAATGGAGAATACACACGTATGCACACGCACACACACACACACTAAAAGTACTACAAACTGAACAAGTAATGCGCTGCAGTACGTGTGTCCATACTTTATGTCAAATATAAACGGCTGGCTTTGCGTCGCTAACTTACCCCTTTCTTTTCATCACGACTTGGGCACACATGCGAGTCCAACAACCCATGAAAAGCATTAGCATACAGCACCGGCTCCACACGGAGTCAGGGTGCGTTCACAGACGGTGGAAACCGTGGGAATCTTTAGTTTTCGGCGGATAAAGTGTTTTATTACATTGCCGTCTTCCGAAGGGGGCACTGGGGGTAGTCAGGGAATTTTTAGGGGTGGCAGTGGCCCCTCTGGCTCCGCCACTGGCGTGGGCATGCTTACTACCCCGGGCCGATGGGGGTGGACCCGGAATAAGAATTAGCCAATGCTAACATATAGCATCTTCTTACCTCTCGAAAACACCTTTACAGGATGGTCCAAGTTGGCTCTTGGCTCTTGGCCCAAAGCATGTTCCACATGTGTGTCAATATTGAGGGGAGTGAATATTTTTGGACCAGTCCAGTTTACCCGCTGTGAATTTTTGAAGTCACTCGTTTAAATGAATGGGGCTCGTGCCGGCTGATGCATGCGCAGATGCGTTTTTTTGATATTTTCCAGCTGTGCGGCCATTTTGAATCACTCCATGAAAGCCCAATATTTGGCCCATTAGTTAGAACGGCGGAGATAGGTGTGACTACGTTCGTTCATACAGTCTACGGTGATAACGTATTTCCTCCTTAATGTGTTGATCCATTCAAAAAATATTATGACTATTGACAATTTGTGTGTGATGGGACGTTCCGAAGTCCTGTAGAGTATGGATCTATTGATATTGTTGGGACATGGATCTGATGGATCTGCCCAATCAGTCAGACTGACCATGTCCAGGAACAACAGCTGCTAAAGACACACATCACACGTTTGTCACCTCTGATTAAGGTGAAAGCTTCCTGCCCAAAAAAGTTGGGTAATTAAGATCATAACTTTTAAAATCATTGATGTTTCACAGGATGCATCATCAAAAGTGATGGCATGATCACATAATGCGCATCAAATCACTGCGTGTGATCACTGTACGATTTGCACTGCTTGGTACATCAAGAGGGGGCACTGAAAGCACTTTTTTTTCAGTCTTGACACCCGCAATATCTCATGGGCTTTGCATAAAGGGGGGTTCACACCAGCGACGCATCAACACCGTCGAATCCACGCACCGCTGATGCGTCTTGGATGACTGCTCACATAATTTCAGCCGCATGAGTTTAGTAAATCTGACGGACTGCCCTGTGATGCCGAAAAACACTGGGCCAATGGTGGGCGGTCTTTACTTTGATGCTAGCAAGGTTATGCTTGCGGCTTTTCGTGTAAAGTTCTCCTCCACGAGTGCAGCTCTGTAGCGTCTCGAGAAATCATATTACGACAGTATCTGTTAACGGAACTGCACCATGGATGTATTATATTATTAACCCATCCATCCATTCATTTTCTTCCCCTTTGTCCATTCCTGGGGCCAGCTGCCACCCACACAGAGCACCAGCCCCTCACTGATCCTCCTGCAGGGTCCATAATAGGATGGCTGCTCTGTCAGTGACAACACAGCCTTGATTTTTCAGCGTGGGCTTCAGGAAAAGTGGGGTTAAGTGTCTGGCTGTCACTTGTGTGGACACAACGACAGCAGACATCAGTGGGAGTTTGTGAAGAAGGTCTTGTGGTGGGCTCGAACCCACGACCTTCAGGCTCAAAGGTCAATGCTCTACCAACTGAGCCACTGTTGCCCCTACATTATTAAACAGTACGTCCATATTGGCGAACACGTTAGCAGCACTTGTTTATAGTCACAGTAGAATGCTGGAGGCATAAGTCCACAAGCACTGTGTCCTCCTTTGTCAGTCCTGATTTAGTCCTGGTTTAATCCTGGTGTAGTCCTGGTTTAGCTCTTGTTTTTGCCATTGACTTTGTCATGAAACTCGACGCAACGCATGGTCTGGTGTGAACACCTGTTATGTTAAAGTATATTAATTTAAATAGGAAAGCAGTCCATAACCTTATCGATAACATTTCCCAGCTACATTTTGACACTCTCAACTTGCAATCCTCCTTTACATGCTTCTAAACAAATGGTGAAATGATAGATACTAAACACACTCTCACAGAACTTACTGTCATTGGAGCCTTGGTTTTCATCCCAGTTACGCACATAATCATCCTGCGGAAACAAAGAAAACGGTTAACGCTGATGCCAAACAAAGCCTTTCTCTTAAGTACAGCCACAGGACTCCCTTTGTCGCAGTGGAAGGAGCCAGCCACTTTACATCATCATTGCACAGTGATTACAATGTGTACATTAGTGCTGTGGAATGATAATGAGCTGGAGCAGACGGTAGCGGAGATGAGATGGACTGCGTATGTGTCGGGCATATGGTGTCAGGGGGCGAGCTGCCTTTTCGCCGCTCTGCCTCTTTTTACACTTAATTAGAACATTTATCACCCTAATTAAAATGGAGGAGTTGAAAGACGGGCACAGGGAGGAGGATGGACATGGAGGGGGAGCGGAAACCACGGGGTAAAACCGCTTTTCTGCAAACCAAGTCGGTTGGGTGTATAGACAGGGAAACATGATATTGAGGGAATTGTTTTTATTGTATACCAAATGGCCAGTGACACGAATTACTACTGGTGTGCAAAAGATAAAAAGGTTTATTTGTCTCAAGAAAGGGTTAAACTTGAATTTAATGGCACTAAAATGTATCTAACTTTCAAAAACTATTTGGTAAAAGCAAATTGTAAGTCTTTCCAATATGTTGCTACATTATATAATTAATTTATCTTTCAAAATCTGAAGTATACATCAAACAATAGATTTGAGCCTCAATATTTATCCTTTATACATTTTCTTTGTAATACTGGACAGACTTTTGCAGTTCTCTGTGTCAATATAGTATGATAGTTTAGTCATCTTGTTTTCTTAGTAGAATTAAAAGTATTGGGTTCTTCTATAGCAAACAATATAAGGTTTTGTGATGTTATTACCGGGACATGTTTCGATGGATACTTCAGTCTTCCTCAGAAGCGTCTAGGTAGGTATTGTCTGGTATAGAAGAACCCAATACCTTTAATATATCATAATATTATGTATTGGGTCTAAACATTTTTCCATAAAATTATATATTTTCTGGGATCATTCTGCTTTATTGTACTTGTTATTATCTAAAATGTGTTGTGACCGGCTGACATCAGAGATAACATGAGAAAGATAAAAATTTAATTATTCAGAGTTTCATTGCCCTTTCTGAAACATAATTGGAACTTTGAAGTGTTTTGTGCCAAAAGTCACACCATGGTCAGAAATTGGCCTTAAGAGATGTTCAGGGGCAACAAGTAATTAAACATTAGCACTAGAAAGTTGAAGCTTGTGGGTGCTTGGATGTGTACACACCCAGGCAGATCTTCTTTATTTTTGCCTATATTTCGAATGATAACACAAACTCGCATAAGCAAACATCAATCTGCTCTTGGGATATCTCATAATATGGCAAAAACAAAGACCTCTCTGGCTGGGTGAATACATTTTAAAGCACACTCAGTATTGGCAAACACAGATAAATGCCATCTCTTTGAAGTTTCAAACATACAATACAATACATTTTCCTTCCACTTTCATGTAATGGCCCAAAACAGTGAAATACATGCATGCACTGTATCATGCCAAGCCGACAGTCAGGTGAAGGTGATATTAAATCAAATGTAGAGTTTATGAAAAAGAAGAAAAAGTGAACTGACCTCTACCTCCTGGTGAAATGACAGCGAAAGAGAAAAGAGAAAATAAGGTGAGACATAGGTGCCCACGTATACTGTACATCCACATCTAGCTTTATGTGCACTTCAACCAGAGCTTTTAAAAAATGGTTGAAGTACATTGGACAGATCAGTAAAAAATACCTACCCATGTTGATAATTGAGAGGACGTTAACTATTGAATTAAATCGTTTGAATTAGCTATGATTGGCTCAGGTAAAATCAGAATCAGAATCATTTTTATTGCCACGTAAGTAACAAACAAAAGTTACCACTTGGAAATTGTTTTGGCAGAGAGCGAGCCACTTTGCTATTTGCGGCACTGTAAAAATAGGAAATACATAGGCAAGAATTTTATATCTTTAACTGACTATCATTATTGAAAGTTTTTGGTTGTGTATTTGCACATTGCCTGTTTTATTGTTGCTTCTAGAGCAGTGGCCTCCAATCTGTAGCTCAGGAGATACCAGTAGCTCACCAAACCCCTTTCAGGTAGCTCCCCAAAGGATTCAGGAATTTCACACATGATCCTGAATGATTAAATTGAGTCAACAAAATCTAATTTTATGAATATTGTCATTATGTTCACTAATGCATGGTTATACAGTATTGTGGTATATTCTACATGTGTGTTTTCTTATGTGTCATTTCTGTTGTGTAAAAGTAGCCTTCCAATCAAAACAGCCCTGTTCCAGACTATCATTCTTATACATTTTGAACATATATGGAGCTAGAATCACATAAAGAAAATAATTGGTCTGTTCGATTGTGAAGATGTAGGTTGGTGGTTATGCCATATATTCCTTACGAAAATGTCTTACATTAAATGCTCATATGGTCAAGAATATGTATTCATATAAAAATAAAATACTCAAAAAAAAAAAAAATAATAATAGGATAAGTGACATTTATTTATGTCTTATGTCACCGCTAACATAATCACAATTAAGTGCCAACATAGTGTTGTCTTGTGTTGAATGGGTGAGACGGGATTTGAATAATTTGTTAGAATGAGTGTTGCAAATCCTTCTAAAGCCTGTAGATTTATTTTTGTCTATGAAGATTTGTAAAGATGTTGTGCAGGTTTGAAATACAAAAATTCAATTCAAATTCAACACAATTCATTTGTGCCAAATTCCCTGTGTGACATTGCTGAGTTATTGATGTATCAAAGAAAGAAGACAAAACAGTGATCACTGCCTTGAATGCAGAATAAAAATTACTCATACACAAATTACTCTGAAAACCACTTTAAACGAATTAAAGCATTGTTAAAAAGGTCTAAAAGACAATTATGCACAATTTAGGCCAGACCTCAGAAACCCTTTTTACTCTTACATAATGGCACAAATCAGAAAACAGCAGAGCATTCTTGTTGAGGGACTGAATATACTGTATATGTGTGCGATACAAAGCATGAGTCAGATTTACAGTGCGCCCCCCTCTCCATCCCCCTCTCCACCCCCATCTTCCTCTTTTGTGACGACTTACCAATAACCGTAAACATTTACTGTTGTGGTTGTGCTTGCCAAAAGCATCTCTCCAGAAGGTTGTAAATCTGGTACAATATATGAAATAAGCAGTCCATCAGTAGTGAGATCCTCTGCCTTGACCTCAGCCCTTTTTCACAGCTGTCAATGTTTTGTGACTCTTTTTTTTCTGTTTTGGGAGCTTTCAAATTAGGTGTCATAAAAATGATGTTTTTTCTCTTCAATTGAAACTGATTGCACTGATCATAGTTATTTCTTTCAGGTATTGGAAAAAAAAAATACAAAATACATGAATAGATACATATAATCTGCATTTTGCAACAATTTCTTGAGCCAAAAAATGTAAGACAAATGGATGGACAAATCACAAACTTGTGTGCTCCACAAGTGAGTTGTGATTTTGGGCAATACAAAAATAATATACTATATTTCAACTGTAAAAAGTGAAAACTTCGCACATCCGACTCTGTGACAGGTGCGTAAGAGCAGGCTCCGCACACAACTTTGCCAACTTTGAAAAGGAAGAAAAAAACTCTCGACAACTGTACTTTTTTTATTTACAGATGTGCAAAGTAGGCCTTTGTCAGGCAAACTAACCCCCACCTAAATTTTTATTGAAATAGAAATACATTTACCAATAGTTGAGCTAGAATATGTGAAATGTATTTTGTAGCCAGTACACAGACTCCTACTTCTACTACTTGTCATGTTTTGGGTGAAATGGATGATGCCGTAAGCAGAATGCGAATTGTTGCCGTATCTGATGACACACTCTATAAGCAGATAAGTGCCTTGGGATGATAAATGGGTTGCTACTGTATGAAGATAAATTGAAGTGAATTTCATAGCTCTACTTGAGTCATCATTGCATGCACAGCAGAGCTTTGGAAAGTATATGTCATCTGCCAAATGTAAAAAAATTAGCAAAGCTTATCTTTAGAGCCAAAACTTTGTGCTTATGTTACAGTACATGGAAACAACATTTTATTAGAATGGACATAAACTTAGACAAATACCAAATAGAGACTAAATGAATGAAAGCTATTTGCATTGTTTCTGCTGTAAAGTTTTAGACCGTTGAACAATATCCAATCTAATTTACAACACAGGGCACATCTGCAGCTGTCCCATCAACATGAGACAGCCATATAACATAATAATAGGGACGCTGAGTGAAATATTCAAATTATAGGAGCATCTCCAGACAGTCATTTATTCTGACTGCTTTGCCCTTGGTTTTATGACTTCATTCATTATTAGCTTACTCACAAGATGTGCCCCGGAGCTCCATTTTGTATTTTAGTAGTTCTCTTCACTCTCCATAACTGTCCATTGCATTTGACTTCATAATATCCCACAAGACTTTAGATGTCTACTCACATTTATGTTTTGCTGGGGATCTTTTTAAACTTAACCTGGAAATCTATAATCTACAACAAGATAAGGCCAATGACTCAGGTGCCTTCTATAGGCATACAGAGGGCACCATATACCATGAGAACAGCATGCAAGATAGAGTGTGGTCAGTGTCACAGCTAATTTCCGTAGTAGGCGTTAACAGCGTGTAAGTGTTGACTGCACGCATATGCGCGTAACATTACTGTACTTGGCTGTATGTCCACTTTATGCTCTCCCTGTGTAGTCTATAGAGAAGTGTAGAGGACAGATGTAGAGCAACACAAATCACATGTATGTGTCTGTCTTTATGGTTTCTGTGCGCTGATTTGTTCTATGGTTCTATGGACTCATTATTTTATAAGTCGTTTCAACTGTGATGTTTTGAATAAAGTCTCAGTTCTAGTTGGAAACATAGTTATTGTTAAAGTGTATTCAGCACAAACAGCATAACAATAAGTGGTAAATATCTGAGACAAACATGAACTATTTACAAGTGCAGGGGGAATGCAACATACGTGATACGCTACGAGTGCAGATTCAAACAAAGACCAGTGTAACGACGGTTTGCACTGCCTCAGCTGTTTATGATGTAATGCAAACCTGCGCGTCTCACGGCAGCCGAAGCAAACCAAGATGGCGGACCGTGAATTGCTTTAAAAGTTAAAATACGGACGAATTAAGACACAAAAGTTTCGTGTAAAGTTTAGTTTAAGCAGTCAACTGCGCCTGTGAAACCACAAAGCTAATGTTTTCATAGCAGTCCGCGTCTGCTGACGTAGGCTGATGACGCGTCCTGTGGCAACTCTACAGCTTACAACTGGTCTGTCGGGTTAATAATGGAAAATGGGGAAAAACTCAATCTAATTAAATATTTTGTTTGAACACACTATTGTTAATCATATTGAATACAGTACGATACATGCATTGAATTAAATTTATTATTTCCATTATCAACCCGACAGACCAGTTGTAAGCTGTAGAGTTGCCACAGGACGCGTCATCAGCCTACGTCAGCAGCCGCGGACTGCTATGAAAACATTAGCTTTGTGGTTTCACAGTCGCAGTTGACTGCTTAAACTGAACTTTACACGAAACTTTGACTCTTAAAACTCACATGTGACAACACGGAACCATCAACATCTCGCCTCAAATTGCATTAAAAGTGACATTTGTGTCTTAATTCGTTCGTATTTTAACTTTTAAAGCAATTCACGGTCCGCCATCTTGGTTTGCTTCGGCTGCCGTGAGACGCGCATGCGCAGGTTTGCATTATATCATAAACAGCTGAGGCAGTGCATCTCGTCAAGGCAGTGTATCTCGGCTTTACACCGGAACAGGAACAGTGCAAAAGAAACGACTGCACAGTTTATAAGTTATATATATGTTAGATATGCAACAGAACACTAGTCCATCAGGCTATGCCATGAGCCCAAACCGCTTTCCCTTTGGTTCCTTCGAAGCGTGAAGTTATCTGCTTTGTAGTGCCTCGTTCATGTTCCCTGCAGCCGCCCCATGCTTCCCAGAAAGTAATCACACACGGACCAATCACAATCGAGCTTCCTTGTGGCGTCGGCTACGTAGCTAGAATTTTTGAGTGTGAGCTGTAGGCTACACAAGGGTCTTGCAGTGATCCTTGCGTTGCGCAACTGACGTCACGTCACCACCGTAAGCTCCGCACCGCGCGACTATACACTAGGCGTACGTGCTGTAACGCCTCCTTTGTAAATTAGCAGTCATGGTGAAAATAGAAGAATTAGTGAATGGTCCTCATTAAATTTGTTGTGGTCTTGACTTTTCCCTTGAAATTAAAGTTTGTTTTTTGATTAGTTCCTTGCCTTGAGAGTCTAAGGACAGTGATGATCCGGGACATTTAAGGAATAAGTTATCCATCCGTATGGAGCCCTATGAAACTATGGCTCCTATGTTTTTTTATTATTGCATTTCCTGTGTTTGAACTGTTTAATTCTCTGAGACAACTTTGAAGTCCTATGTTACTTATTACTGTTCCTTGATGGATGTGATTGCGATATTCGCTTCCTTCTTCCGGGCGGCACGGTGGCTGAGTGGATAGCACTCTCGCCTCTCAGCAAGAAGGTCCTGGGTTCG